AGGATCTGCCATGTGCCCTCCTCTGTTCCCACTGGTGGCTTTTACACCCTGCACTTACCCCGACCTACCCCCTGAGCCAGTGACCTTTGAAGCCCTTGAGGTGGCCAAAAAGAGGGTGCTGGGCAGGAGCAGGGGTGGCATTGCTCAGTTCAGCTCCCTGCCAGCTTGGGATGACCTTTAAATATTTGTTTCCCTGCTTTTGTTTTATAAACCTTTGGCAGGGAAGTCACTTGGGCAGTTGTCAAACACTCGGGAAGGAAACTGAAGTGGGAAAAAACCTCCTGGATGCAGGGAAATTGAGTTGTTGATTTATCCATTCATGTTTTGCTGCTGGTTGTTTGGAGCACACTCGGAGTGGGAGGAATGGGACCAGTAGCAGCATTCTGCTCGTGCTTCCCAGCCTTTCCCCCGTGGATATAGGCCAGGACCTGGGATCAGGCATTCCCAGCTGCCCCGTGCTCCAGTGCTGCACGCAAAGAAAGTGTGTCTGGCTCCACATCTGGGATAGAGAAGGGATTTGGGCTCTTTTCATAAAGTCCTGCTTGGCTTTTGGGCTCCGATTTAAGCTCTGGACTGGGAATGACTTGGGAGAGAGGTGGTTAAATTTTTGCTTAGTTTCCATCCTTTTCCCTCCTGCAAGTTACTGGTGCCCTGAGCCCTCTCTGTCTTTCCAGGGTGCTCCTGTTCCCCCCTCTGTCCAGTCGCCTCCGGTACCTGATCCATCGGACCGTGGAGAACATGGATTTGTTGAGCAGCTTCTCGGTGGGGGAAGGTTGGAGGAGGAGGACGGTCATCTGCCACTCAGCTGTGAGGTTGGTGGGGTTGGGGTGGTGCTGCCTCTCCTGTGGTCGTGGGGGCTTTGTGGAAGCTTACAGGAATCCTGGAATCCTGGAATGGTTTGGGTTGGAAGGGACCTTAAAGCTCATCCAGTTCCATCCATGGGCAGGGACACCTTCCACTAGCCCAGGTTGCTCCAAGCCCTGTCCAGCCTGGCCTTGGAGACTTTCAGGGATGGGGCAGCCACAGCTCCTCTGGGAATTCCATCCCAGCCCCTCACTGCCCTCACAGCCAACAATTCCTTCCCGATATCCCATCTATCCCTGCTCTCTGGGCAGTTTGAAGCCATTCCCTGTGTCCTGTCCCTCCATCCCCTGTCCCAAGTCCCTCTCCAGCTCTTGGAGCCCCTTCAGGCCCTGGAAGGGGCTCTCAGGTCTCCCTGGAGCCTTCTCCAGGTGAACCCCCCCAGCTCTCCCAGCCTGGCTCTAGAGCAGAGGGGGCTCCAGCCCTTGGATGGATCCCAAAATTTCCATGGTGTTTCTCCGTGGGGTCTCCTTTACCAACAGCATCTTCCAGTCCTGACAGAACGAGCAGCACTTTTCCCCATGTGCCGACTTCCACCTTGGATTCTCTGCTTTTCCTCCTTTTCCCCTTGCCAACACCACATCCCCTGGGTGTTATTCCGTGTTCCCCTCGCTCACATCTCCCCATTCCCTTTGCTCCCAGGCTGCCCAGCGAGACCAGCGACCCAAAGCCCGGCCCCACCCCGGCCCGGCCCCACCGCCCCGTGCAGCCCTGGGGCCGAGGGGGCCGGGGGGCCCGGCCCAGGCACGGGGGGGACACCCACGGGGACACCTCCCGGGCCTGTGTGGGCTCTGGCAGGATCACCAGGCCCCCCAGGAGGAAGCCAGACAAAGCCCTGTACGTGCCCAAGGTGGCGAGGAAGAAGGCGAATTGGAGGGAGCGGGACGGCCCCGGAGAAGCCGGAGGGGACGCGGCGCAGGGAGATGAAATCTACCCCAAAAATTCCACGGGGGACGCCCGGGAGGAGCTGGGCAAGCCTGGAGAAGGCCCAGGGGGTGTCCCTGTGGCTCTTGGAAAGCAGCAGGAGCCCGGTGAAGGAAGTTTTTCGGGAAAAACTGACGCTGACCCCCACGCTGAGCGTCCTCCGTGCGGTACAGACGTCCCATCCTTAGGGAATAGCAACGATTCCTCCAAGCAGGAAAGTCGGGATAAAGACTGTTGTGATTCCCTTTCTTCTGGGCACAGTAAACACCCACCTTCTGAGGCAGAAGAGCAAGATCTGAGCCGTGATGACACTGTTGTAGCAGAAGGCAGCAAATTCCTGCGAGACGGAGACCAAACCAACCGGGATTCCGGAGTGTTGGAGGGTGGGAAAACCTCCCTGCTGGAAAGCCGTGGGGGCAGCTCCTGTCCAGACCCAGCTGTGGTGCTGGAAAACCAAGATAAGAGCAGTGCTGCTGCCAAGAGCCCGGAGAGTAGCAGGAACCTGCCAGCACCTACAGAGCAGGGCAAGGTCTCCGGGAATTCCTCCACGCTGGAAAGCCGAGATCGGGAGCGCCCAAGCGCGGAGCAGAACCCCCTGGAAGCGCAGAGTGAGCCTCTGGCTGTGCCTCAACTGGGTGTTGGGGGTGACCCATCAGCTCCTGAGGAGCAGGGGGAGCACTGGGGGGATGCTCCGGGGCGGAGCTGCAGTGGGAAGGTGCCGCTGGAAGAGGAGGAGGAGGAGGACAAGGAGCCCTCGGATGTGGCCGATGCGCCGTGGAGGGAGCTGCAGGAGGAGAGGGGGAGCAGGCAGGAGCAGAGCAGCCTGGAGGACGACTGCACTGCAGAGCTCTTGGCAGAGGTAGAGTTTGGCAGCGGGGAGGGCAAATTTTGGGGGAAAACCAGTGGCTGAGGGGAGGGAATGTCCCGTGGGAGGAGGGTCCCTGTGCTGGGAATGTCCCTGTGCTGGGCCTGCCCCGGTTTGCAACAACCCAGGGGAGGGCTGTGCTTGGAAGGGAAACCCCGAGGTTTTAATTTAATTTAATAATCACCCTATTTGGTGATTATTCCTCCTGAATCTCCTCAGATCATGGGGAATCTGACGGTGAAGGACATCAGCATCGAGAGGATCAGCGTGGACTATTCCAGCTACGGCGAGGCCCAGGTCAGCGAGGGGGATTTCGGCCACGTCACCGAGATCTACGACTTCCCCTCGTCCCTGAAAACGGAGGATCTGATGGAAATGTTCTCAGATTTCCAGTGAGTACCTCCCTGAGCTCAGGGAGCAGCATCCAGGTCGGAATCTGCAACAGAACCGGGTTAACCCCGAGTTTTAGTTTCACCTTCATGTCTTACACCGTTTCCGAGCCTCAAAGGAGGCTTTTCCTTTAATTTTTTAAAATTATACAGAATTATACAGACCCAGCTGGTCCTCCAGGGCTCTGTCACACACACATCCAGGCTCCTCCTGGCTCCAGCCAAACTCTTCAGGTGATTTTAGGAGCTTCCTGAGTGAAGGGAGGTTCTTCCCTCAGTGTTTGCAAGGAAAAGGGCTCGATCCTGCTCTTGGAGATAAGATTTGTTGGGTAAATACCTGGAGTGAGGTTGGAGCAGTGGCAGGAGCAGGACAAAGTTCAGTGATAACGGGGTTGAGTCCAGCTCTGAGTCCCTCTCACTCCTGCCAGGTGGATAAAGGCCCCTCTCCCTGTTTTTTTCTCTCCATCCTCCTCCTCCCTCTGGATAACGAGTGGATTAGATGTGAACGTTCACTGGGGATCCCTGAGATTAAACCCCCTGAATTACATTTAATTCTGTTTGTAGTTTTTCCACTTGCTGGGAGTGAAGCGTTGGTGTAAATTCATGAAAGGATAAACCAAAAATAGAATTTTGGTTTTAAAGGACAATTCTTAAGAAAATAAAAAAATGGAGTAACATCCAGAGCTGCACTCAGCAGATCATTGGGGCAAAAAAGAAAATGAGCTGAAAACTGGGGGGATCCCACCTGAGCAGTCACCTGCTCCCAAACTCCCATTTTCCCCTGACTTAATTGGATTTTCCCATCAGTCTCTTCACCCCGAGCTTTGTAACCCACTTTTATCAATAATTTCCTTTTTATTGTTGTTTCTGAGCAGTCAGGAGGGTGTTTGCAAAGCCCTTCATAAATGACAATATTTTTGTGCTGCAAGACACAGCCCTTGAAATTGAGGTTGATTTTGGCCAGGGTTTGTTTTTTTTTTTTAAGAGGAAAAAGGAGTTTTGTGATCTTGAAAGGGGCACTTTTAATGTGCTCTCTTCCTTCTTTTCCTTCCCTCATTTAAAATGGGGATAATGCTTCAAAAAGCACCAGCTGCCTCCGTGAAAATAAATCCAATAAATGCTAAATACTAATAAATAAATAATTAAAATTACTAAATATCCCTGGTAGCTCCAGGGGGGCTGCTGGGGTTTATTGTGGGTTTATTTTTCTCTATATTAATTAATATTCTGTTGCCTTTTCAGCGAGAGTGGTTTCAAAATCCAGTGGGTGGACGATACACACGCCCTGGGAATCTTCTCCAGCCTTTCCACAGGTATTTGGGGGTGGGATTGGGGGACCCCCGGAGCTGCTGGGGTGTTTTCTTTCCTGTTTTCTTCCAACTGGGAAGGATTTTGAGCTTTGGGAAGCTGGAATTGCTGTGGTGGTGTGTGGAAACTCTGCCTTGCCTTGGATAATAATCAGGACACCTCTGTGCTGCTCTCGTGGAAATTAATGATTTTCCATCGTTTTTTTTCCTCCTGTAACTGGACAAAATCCCTCCAAACACTCAGGAACCTCCCAGGGCGTGCGGTGGCACCAAAATTCTGGGAAAACTGCCCTTTTTTGGGGACAAACCCCCCACCCTGAGGTCAGAGAGGTTCCCACCCAGCACACGTGGATCCCAACAGCTCCTGGGCTTTTCCTGGGATTCATCTACTAACAACAAAAGCCTTTTAAAAGAATGTATTGATATTTTCTGGGGTGGTTTTGTATCATATTCTGATTTTTTGATGGTTTTTGCAGCATCTCAAGCCCTGGGCCGACGTTATCCCTGTTTGAAGATCCGGCCCCTGATCCACGCCAGCAAACAGTCCAAGCTCAGGGCCCTGCAGCGACCAAGTAAGACAAGGTTTCAAAATTCACATTATTTCTTTTTTTAGCTAATGTTGCTATGTTCTTTTTAATTTTTTAATGATAATTTTCGTGTTAATTTTTTTGTTATTTTTAGGGTTTTTTAAAATTTTTTTGGTTATATTTTTATGGTTTTTTTAAAAATTTTTTTACCTTTTTTTACATTATTTACATTTTGTACTTTTTTTATTTTTTTCCAACTTTTTTTTACTTCTTTTTACTTTTTTCCTTTTTTACTTTATTTTACTTTATTTTGCTTTTACTTTATTTTATGTGTTTGCTCTATTTTACTTCATTTTACTTTCTTTTACATTTTTAGTTTAATTTTACTTTATTTTTCTTCATTTTAATTTACATTTTTACTTCATTTTAGGTTTTTACTTTATTTTACTTCATTTTACTTTCTTTTACATTTTTACTTTCTTTTACACTTTTACTTTAATTTTACTTTATTTTACTTAATTTTTTTCATTTTTTTTCATTTTTCTTCATTTTACCTTATTTTACATTTTTACTTTATTTTAGGTTTTTACTTTATTTTACATTTTTCCTTTATTTTACTTTCTTTTACATTTTAACTTTTCCTTTATTTTATATTTTTCCTTTATTTTCCTTTATTTTATATTTTTCCTTTATTTTCCTTTATTTTATATTTTTCCTTTATTTTCCTTTATTTTATATTTTTCCTTTATTTTCCTTTATTTTTCATTTTTCCTTTATTTTCCTTTATTAATTATTTTCCTTTATTGTTTTCCTTTATTATTTTCCTTTATTACTTTCCTTTTTTCATTTTTCACTTTTTTCCCTTTTTCTTTTTCCCCTTTCCCCCTTTTTTTCTTTACTTCACCTTTTTTTAAGCTACCTTTTTCCCTTCTAAAATTAACATTACATTTTCTATTTACTCTGTTTAACATCCTATTTTATTTAAGATCACATTCCTTGCTTCCCCTGCCCAGTTGAGACAAACCAAGTCCCACCTCGTGGTCGGAATCATTTTATTCAGTACCAGGTGAAGGAAACCAAAATCTGGTGAAGCTGAGCCATTAAATTGTTTTACTGATTTCAACCCCTCAAAAATCAGATTGTGATCAGTTCTATCCGCAGGAAAGAAATGCCAGGAACCTTTTTTAGCAGCAGAGACTTGCAATGTCCAACTCCTGTTATTTGCCAGTTCACTGCAGTGGAAACAATCCCAATATTAATGCTCTAAAAAGCCACAAGTTCCTGAGTTTTTAAGAACTCCTGGAGTCAAAGGACACGTCCAAAAATGAGATTTCTTTGCTGTCTCCCCTTCATTGTGAATCAGGCTATAAACTCCTCCTGGGGAACGTTAGAAATTCCCTTTGCATTCCCTTTAAATTGAATTTTTCCACGTAGAAATTTGGATTTTTATCAGCTGACAGTGTCTCTTTTTCGTTTTTTTTTTAAACTTTATTAGTGAAACTTAAAAAAAACCCCCAAGGCCCCCTTGCTGTCTGGATAATAACAGCTGCTGATAAAGGATTAGGTAATTCCCAAATCCGGATTCCTGGTCAAAGTTTGGAATATTCACCCCTTCCATTTGTAACAGGTCAGGTGTCTCCCAGAAAATGGATGTCCCAAAGCAGCTGGAATATCGAGATATTATTTAAAATGCAGATTATTTTTTTCCCTGGTTTCTGAGGATTTAGAAAGGGATTCTTCCTTTTCTTCCTGGTTTCTGAGGATTTAGAAATTTTTCTTCCTTTTTTCCTAGTTTCTGAGGCTTTTCCTTTTTTTCCTAATTTCTGAGGATTTAGGAAGGATTCTTCCTTTTTTCCTGGTTTCTGAGGATTTAGAAGGGAATTCTCCCTCTTTTCCTGGTTTCTAAGGATTTAGAAAGGATTCTTCTTTTTTCCTGGTTTCTGAGGATTTTCCTTTTTCCTGGTTTCTGAGGATTTAGGAAAGATTCTTCCTTTTTTTCCTGGTTTCTGAGGATTTAAAAAGGGATTCTTCCTTTTTTCCTGGTTTGTAAGGATTTAGAAAGGGATTCTTCCTTTTTTCCTGGTTTCTGAGGATTTAGAAATTATTCTTCCTTTTTTCCTAGTTTCTGAGGATTTTCCTTTTTTTCCTGGTTTCTAAGGATTTAGAAAGGATTCTTCCTTTTTTCCTGGTTTCTGAGGATTTAGGCTGCTGCCTTTAATTAGTTGAAACAAAAATCCAACTTTGCTTAGTTGAAATAAAAAAATCCAACTTTGCTGTGCAGGGATAAACTGGGGCTGGAGACAGGGATGAATTTTGCCCGGAATGGTTGGGATAAGCACTTCCTGGACGAGAAGGGGGGAGAACAATTTTCTCCCACAATAATAATAGTAATAATAATAATAAAAAAAAGACCTGGAGCTTTATTGTGGCCAAATAACTTCATATAGAGTTTCCATCTGGAATATGTGGAGTTGTGTCATTCCAAAGGGGCAGGGAAGAGATGGATTTGCTGCGGAGGAGCCGAGGGAACAGGGACAGCACCCAGCTGAGGGGGTTTTTCTCCCTGTTTTTTTCCCAGAACTCCTTCACCTCGGGAAGGAACGGCCCCAGACGGACACGGCCGTGGCCAGGAGACTCGTGTCCCACGCCCTGGGCTGGAGGCACAGGCAGCAGGAAGGCTCAGGAACTGAAGTTTTCCAGCCGGAAACCTCGGAGCAGCAGGAATAAAAGAAAAACCCACCTCGGCTCCCCCCTCCCTGTCCATCCACACCCCCCCCCCAAAAAAATCCCCTGCTGTAAAGATGAGCATGAGCTGTGCTGTCCAACTGCATGTGGAGCAGGGAGGTACCACGGGGGGGTTCTCCTTGGGATCAGCACCATCCTTTGGAAGTTGGGAAGGAGGGGGAGTTTAGTGTTCGTGGGATTTTTGGAGACTTTTTGTTTCCGAGCCCCAATTGCTCACCTGCAGGAATGAAATGAAGGGGTTTTCCAGAAAAGCCTCCTCTGGGTTTGGAGAAAAAAAACAAACCAAACCAAAACAAAAAAAATAATTCATTAAGAGTAAGGGAATTGTGTTTTGTTGGCCAGAATTCCAGCTGGGGGTAAGAACAGGAGTTCAAAAAAGCTGTTCCACGTTTATACCTTGTTGTAATGTTGTTGTTGAGATATCCCATAAAACTGCCAGGTGAGTTCAAGGGTTTTTTTTTTTTTTCCATATTTACACAGCCTGAAGTTGCCCTGTTAAGCAAGGAAAAGTTGCCACGTGCTCCTTAGGAAAAGGAAAAGCAGAACTTCCCTGTTCTGCTTGGCCCAGAGCCTGGTTTTAAGGTGCTGGAAAACCCTTTGGCTCTGCTCGTGCTCCAGATCTTGAGGGAAAAGATGGGAGTTTTCCAACTTAAGAGGAGGCTAAAAAAAACAAAACCTTTGCCAGGTGATAAATGGCCTCAGCAGGATAATTCTGCAGCCTTTGAGCCTCACAACACCCCTTTGAGGTAGGTTTTGGGGAGCACGAGTTGGATTAATCCCCTGGTCACCTCTAAAATTCAGCTGCTTGTAGAAGTCTTCCATACAGAGGGGAAAAAAAACCCCCACAACCAACCCTAAAGTACCAGGAATTGTGAGCTTTCACAGAGTAGAAATCCACCACAAGTGGTATTTAAATGGGTTTTTTTGTGTTTTTTTTTCTGGGTCAAAAGGTTTTTATTCAAGTGAGATGTGTAGCGAGGTGTGTCCTCAAACAAACAGAGGAGCACGGGGGTAGCACCATGAATTTCCAGTGGGGCAGGTGCAGATCCCTGGGGATGAGAGCCAGGAATTCCCTCTGTAAGGAACAGCCAGGAGACGATGCCTTAAAACTAATTCATCCTTGGAAAAAGAGAAGACAGGGAATGATGTCCAGCCTGGGAGGCGAGAGCTGGGCGGGTGTGGAATTTATGGGGTGGATGTTGGGATGGGAATTCCCGGTCCAGCGGCCTCATCACCAGGAATCTGCAAAGTTCTGGGTGTCTGAGGCGGGTGGAGGAGCTCCAGGGAGCTCCAATGGGCTGTTGGGAATCTTGGAATCTGTTCTGCTCCTCTTCCAGAGGTCGCTGGGAGCCGACTGTTGGACCCGAGAGTTTTGCTGCGGAATTAAATTATGCTTTACACTGTTCTGCTCGGAAAAAAAAAAGCTGCTCCTTTTTTTTTTCTTTTTTCTTTTTTTTTTTGTGTGTGTGTGGTTGGTTTTTTTTTTTTTCATTTTCCTTTCCTTGTATTTCTTTGCTGAGCTGGAGTCTGAGGAGGAGGAGGAGGAGCTGTGCAAGAAGCAGCAGCACAAACGTTCGGTGCGTGGAAAAGAGCTTAAAGATGCCAAATGAAGGCCTGGAGAGCGAAGGGTGAAGCCACTTTTTGGGGTTGTTGGCGCCCAAACGGCTGTGAGGGGACACACAGTGCAGGGAGGAACCTTTGGAGGAGGTTGGAATGAGGAGGACACGGAGCCAGGGAGGGTTTGGAGCTCCGGGGCCGCAGGAGGTGCAGGGGAGCGAAGGCGTCTGCGGGAGAGAATTCACCTGGAGATTCGGAGCTGGAGCGTTTTCCTTGATTTCCTGGTGGTGCAGTGGTTTGGGAAGGAGCGAGGCAGGAGTCCTGCCTTCTTTAAATAGTGTGTGTGGGGGGTCCCATTACCGGGTGGCCACTCTGTTATTTGTGAGTCCGCTGAAGTGGTCAAACTTCTGCTCCGTTTCCTCGCTGAAAGAACCACCTGGGAGGGCACAGAGGGGGCACAAAGGGGGCACAGGGTGAGCAGGGGAGGGGCAGAGGCAGCTCAGGGCACAAAGAGCAGGCAGAGAACAGCAGAACCTGCTGGGGAAGGGAGGGGCTCAGAGACTCTCCTGGGCTAATTAATTTGAATTTTAATTGAATTTTACCGTAACTGGAACAGCCGGTGTTAAAAACACTCTTATCTTACAAAGCCCCCAACTTACTTCCATTTTAAAATGGTCTTGATAATGGACTATTTCCATTTTAAAATGGTCTTGATAATGGACTATTTCCATTTTAAAATGGTCTTGATAAGTGACACATTTAAACCAGTTTGGCTTTGATATTTCCAAAGCAAAAATTCTGAATGACAATGTTTTATATTATTCTAAGAGAACACAGAGTTTCCCCTGATATTCCAGCAACAGCAGAGCAGTTTAATGCCTGGATTGAGCTCCACCTATTCTTATTTCTTTTTTCAAGAGGGGACAGGCTTTGGGGTCTGAAGAGGTTCAGTGCCAAAGAGTTTGAGTCTGGGAAGAAGGTGTTTGCCAAGCCGGGCCCACACAGGCACCAGAGCTTTTCTGGGAGGCAAAACCACTCATTTCCTCATCCAGCTGGAGCATCTTTATCCCTGTTAGGCCCGAGCTGAGGGGTTTAAGCCCAGCCCAAGGCCAGCAGGCTCTCACCTATGTGGCAGCTGTACATCCAGATGCGCTGCCCGTCGTAGCGGCTCCGACACTTCATCACGTTGTTGGAATAATCCGACTCAGCCACTTCGTAGTTGGGGTTGATGACGACCTGGGGAGGGAGGGGAGAAGCACAGGGGGAGGTTGTTTAAAAAAGGAGGGCTGGAGGGGTCACAGGATCAGCTGGTTTGTAACAAACTGAGTTTTTTACAACGGGAAAAAAAATCATTCACTAGGTGGGGAAATGGGAACTGCTCGATTAAAGCAGGTCAGACACGGAATCCAGGATGGTTTGGAATGGAAGGGATGTTAAAGCTCATCCCATTCCACCTCCTGCCATGGGCAGGGACACCTTCCACTAGCCCAGGGTGCTCCAACCTCGCCTTGGACACTTCCAGGGATCCAGGGGCAGCCACAGCTTCTCTGGGAATTCCACCCCAGCCCCTCCCCACCCTCCCAGGGAAGAATTCCTTCCCAATATCCCGTCTAACCCTCTGGCAGTGGAAAAAAATGGGTATTTTTTGTCTCAAAATGGGTATTTTTGGCTCTAAAATGGGCATTTTAGGACCTAAAATTGATTTTTTAGACCCAAAATCGATATTTTCGGTCCAAAAATGGGTATTTTTTGTCTCAAACTGGGTATTTTTGGACCTAAAATGGGCATTTTTGGACCCAAAATGGGGGGGTTTGGTTAAAAAATGGGAATTTTCAGCCCAAACCTGGTATTTTTGGTCTATAAATGGGGGGTTTTTGGACTAAAATGGGAACTTTTAGCCCCAAAATGGGCATTTTTGGACCTAAAATGGGAATTTTTGGTCAAAAAATGGGAGTGTTCAGTCCCCAAATGGGGACTGGGTAAGATAAAAGCGACAGGAGTGCCCCCAACCCCTCTTTTTCCTCACCTGGAAAAGGTAATCTCCGGGTGGGACGTCGGTGATGTCGATCCACTGGCAGTCGATGTCATGCCTGTACACATCCCAGCAGCCCACGGTGATCCCCTGCTCCCCAAAATTGGCACACTCGTACTGCTTTTGCACATCTGAGCCAGAAAAAGTTTAAGGAACAAAGTGTTACATCCATGGCAAGGCGAGCTGGGTTTTTCCCTGAGGAATTCCAAGTTGTTCCCAACTCCCCCGTGGGCAGCGATGGGATACGGGGGCAGTGTTTGGGATGAGATTTAACACAGAGGGAGCTGCCACCTTCCAGCCTCATCACCTGGAGGCACAGTTTGGAATTCCTCACTTGACAGGGGTCAGAAAAGGCACAGTTTGGGTTTTGGGACAGCTCCGAGTAGGGAAGGAGGGAATTGAGACCATCCATCCATCCATCCCTCCCTTCATCCATCCACCCATCCATCCATCCACACATCCATCCATCCACACATCCCTCCATCCATCCTTTCATCCATCCATCCATCCACCCACTCATCCATCCATCCACCCACTCATCCATCCATCCACCCATCCATCCATCCATCCATCCATCCCTCCCTCCATCCATCCACCCACCCACCCATCACCTCAGGGCTGGTTTCTGGCTCCTGCCAGGCCACATTCAGCCCTTGGAAGCCCCGGGGACAGGGATAAATTCCCGGCTCCCAGGGCTCTGGCACACACCTGCTTCACATTCCGTGTCCTCCAGGCAGAAACTGGCCTTGTGTCCCTCGGCCACCTTGGTCCCATTGAGGTTCAGGAGGTCGTAGTGGGTGAAAACCTCCATGCTGTGGTAGTGCCTGAGGGTCACAGACAGGGACAATTATCCTTAGGAATGAAATTCAAAGGGAATTAAAGGCAAAACAGCCCTTTAATTACCAGGTCAAAAGGGCTGCGGGAAGTGGAGTGGGAGAAACCGCAGCCTGGGAATGTTCCCCTGGGGATAATCCTGTGTGGCACCATCACCCATCCCAGCTATGGGAATATCTATCCCAGCTATGGGAATGTCTATCCCAGCTCTGGGAATATCTATCCCAGCTCTGGGAGTGTCTATCCCAGCTATTGGAATATCTATCCCAGCTCTGGGAATGTCTGTCCCAGCTCTGGGAATGTCTGTCCCAGCTCTGGGAATGTCTATCCCAGCTATGGGAATGTCCGTCCCAGCTATGGGAATGTCCATCCCAGCTATGGGAATGTCTATCCCAGCTATGGGATTGTCTGTCCTTAGTATGGGATTGTCTATCCCAGCTATGGGATTGTCTGTCCCAACTATGGGAATGCCTATCCCAGCTATTGGAATATCTATCCCAGCTATGGGATTGTCTGTCCCAACTATGGGAATGCCTATCCCAGCTCTGGGAATATCTGTCCCAGCTCTGGGAGTTGCACAGTTCAGCTCTGAGTGAGGCAAAGGCACAGACAGGCCCTAAATCAGAACCAATTGCTTAAGAATTTAAAAAAAAAATAAAAAGAATAAAAAAAAAGAAGAGGAAAAAAGTGCATAAATCCTCTCCTTTCCAGCTGTAAAAATAATCAAGGCTTAAAAACTTCCCATCATCATAATTGCACGTGGATTTACAGATAAAGGAGGAGCGAGGAAGGAAGGGGAGGAAATTTTTCCTTTTTACCTCCTCCTGCCTTTCCCCTGACTTAGAAAAGAAACCAAAAACACATAAATTCCCATCTGCCAGAAGTGAATCACTTTTCACTCCCTGCTCCAAGTCTTTCCCATTTTTGTCCTGCTTCCACATCCAAAGGCAACTGAACAGGAGCTCGCGGTGCTGGAGGGAAAGCAGAGGCACAGGGCTGTGGATTTGGGGCACATTTTGGCTGCCTCTGCTCAGAGCTGGAGGCTCTCAGGTCTGACTCAGATGCTGAACTATGTCTGAACCACCCCGAGGGGTGTTTGCATTCTGCTGTTTACAGACTGGAAAGACTGAAGAGGAACTGAGTTCATCCTCCTCCATCTGAACAGAATCCACTTTTGAAGCACAGACGGCTCGTGGCCTTTCCCTCGGCCCTTCCCAGTCTCACCTCACTTCCAAGTGCCCCCTCATCCTCATCTCACCTCGCTCAGCTCTTCATAAAGACTACAAAGAACTCTTAGATTTGAGAATTTTCTTACACCAGGGGCAGGACAGGAGCTCTGCACTGAGTCACTTCGCTCCCTTTTACCCCAAAAGGAGAGAAAAATCAACCTTGTACCAGCCATCATTCCACAAGCAAAGCATCTGGATGGCTTCCAGCTCCTTTTCCTCCCTTGGTTCAGCTGAAACTCTCATTTCCCCCTCAAAAGTGATGCATTTATGGGGGTGAATTTACTGTTGGTCAAAAAATAAACACAAAACCATCTCCCAGCTGGTTTAGTGGAGTGGGGATGCATTCAAAAATGCAGAATTGACAGGATTTTTGGGGTCCTTTTCCAGGGGAGGGAAGCAGCTCAGGTGGCTGCACCTTTCTACGTGTGGTGGGTGTGTGGAAAGATGGGTCCTGTCTGTACATACGAAGGTATCACAGGATCATGGGATGGTTTGGGTTGGGAAGGACCTCAAAGCTCATCCAATTTGAGGAGTATCAGGATGTGCTGACCCAGGGGCAGCGTCTCTTGGTGTTGAGGGGGATTCAGAGGTCACAGAATCCCAGACTGGTTTGGGTTGGAAGGGACCTTAAAGCTCATCCAGTTCCACCCCCTGGCATGGGCAGGGACACCTTCCAGGGGACCATGGTTGCTCCAACCTGGCCTTGGACACTTCCAGGGATGTGGCACGGATACAGTGCTCTTGGCCAGACAC